GAGGTTGTGAAGGGTATTTGGATTCTGGATATATTCTGAAGGAAGCACCTAAATGAATTGTTAATGAATAGAATATAAGGTATGTAAGAGAGGAGCTAAGGATGATGCTAACATTTTTGCCTTATTGACTCTAGGTGCATGGTATACAGGTATTCATTATATTACTCTTTCATCATTTTTGAAAAAAAAATTTTTTTTTAAGATTTTATTGGGGAATTTGGGGGAGGGGAACAGCATTGGGGAATCGGGGAAGGGAAACAGACAGGTAGACCAGTTGCTGTTTTGTTCTTCAGCCTAGTTGTGGAGGACGTTGCTTCACTGGCCCATGTTGGTATTATCATTGCGCTCTTCCCGGGTGGGGCAATCAGTCGCTGGTCATTGGTCGGCCGCTCCCAGCAGCTCACACTGACTGCCGGCCGCTCACACTGGCTGCCAGCCACTCACGAAGCTCATGGCAGCCCACTGCAGCCCCGCTGCAGCCTACGTCGTCACCAGCGACTCACAGCAGCCCAGCTCCAGGTCCAGCTGTTGTTCATCATCTTAGCTGTAGAGCGCGAGTGTCACTGGCCCTCATGTGGGATCCGAAACGGGGCCCTGCTGCTCAGAGCTGGTGCTCCCAAGTGAGCTCTTAACCAGCTGAGCCACTTGGCCGGCCCTGAAAAATTTTAAATTAAAAAACTGTAAATAATAGACATGCCCCTACTCTCTAGCAGGTACCTCACTGCCAAGGTGACCTAATAACAGTCCACCTCTGTAGGTGCTCCCAGGCTAGAGGGAAGCCCTGAACGGAGAAGATGGCCCATGTATGCTGTGGGTAGAAAGATGAGTAACAGGGTCAGGACTGGGATCAGGAAGTGATTGGGCCTGGCTGGTCCAAAGGCCTGTAGGGGAGTGGTGGGCAAGGCCCCAAACCCTGTCTACTCTGTACTATAGGTTTTTTTCTAGGAGGTGATAGGAAACCATGGAAGAGTTTTTTAAGCACAGTGGTGACCTGATTAGATTTGCTTTAGAAAGTTTATTTTGGGTGGATAAATTTGTTTTTGGGGAGGCCAGAAGCAGGGAGACCAGTTAAGAGAGAATTACAGCAGTCCAGGCAAGAGGCAGTGAAGGCGTGAACTGAGGCAGGGGTCATAAAAGGATGGAAAAGGGGCTAGAACCCCAGAGGTATTACTGGAAAACCTACAGCAGATTTCAGACACACTGCAATTGCTGTGCCCATGGCACATCTAGTACATAACTGGTTAGTGTCAGGTACACAGCTTGGGAACCAGGAGAGAGGTGAAGGCCAGAGACAGAAGCCAGGAAGATTTTGTCATAAAGACATATATGTAACCCCTGGAAGACTGTACCATGGGACAGAGGCCAGCATGAAAGGAGGAGCCCCCAAAGCAGTGGTAGCTATTAGAGTTTTGGAGAAACACAAAGAGAAATGGTGCCTTTGAGTTCAAGGGATGAAGAGTCAAATGCTGGGTCAAGCTAAGGAATTTCAAGTGCTCATTAGGTTTAACTAGTTGTCATTGATGACATCTAGAAGAAGCATGCCAGAAGTATTGGCATGTGGTCGGTCTAATAGTGGACAGGCAACAAGAAGGCAGAGGCACTGAGAGTCAGTTACTGGTTCAAGGAGCTTGGTAGGGAAGAAAAAGGAACAAAGAGTTAAAGGATTGTTTAGATTTTAGTGTTTGTTTAAGATGGGACTGAAGCTGAGGGAAACATCAAGAAAAGACAAAAAGCACAGCTGATAAGGTACGGCCCCTGGGGTGGTATCTGGTATGTGTGGCCTAACCTGGCAAGCTGCTTCTAAATGCCCTGGGATCTCCAGCGCTCTCACTCTAAGTATCTGGAATTGAGTCCTGGCACAAGAATCTTAAAAGCTGTGTGACTGAGTTTGAGAAGCACCCTTTGTTAAGAATTTCCAAGATAAGGGCCGGCCGAGCGGCTCACTTGGTTAAGAGCTCGCTCAAGAGTTTGAGCTCTGAGCAACAGTGGTTCAATGCCCGGCCCAAGCTGAGTTGCCACTGAGCTGCCAACAGGTGGCAGGATGGCTCAGCTAAAAAAAAAAAAAAGAATTTCCAAGATAAAAGGAAAAGTGTTCAAGTTCGGCAAGGAGACAGCTCACAAGTTGTAAAATTGCATAATACCTGAAACACAGTAGGTGCTTAATAAGATGATTGTTGTCAACTGAGTTATAAACTGGATTCTTGTCCTCAAGGGATTTTAGTCTGGCTGGAGAGAAGGATCTCAGACATTGGAACAAGAAGGGGCTGTTAGGAGAGGGCTCAGGTACAAAGCAGGTTGTCAGTTTTGGTTGAAGCCTGACATTTCCTCTCGACTTCCTACTCCAGTGAATACTGACGTCTTTGCTTCCCACAGATTATGGGGAATTTCCACCATGAGAGGGCAGGACTGTGTCAGTGTCCAGGCCACACATTTACTGAGCACTTCTGATGTATAATATCGTGCTCATTGCTAGATTGATCTCAGGAGTTTTATTGGACGGAGACCCAAGAGTCACAATTTGGTAATGGTACCTTGTGTCTCTTATTTGTATCTTGTAACATTCTGACTACAGAAGAGGAGCTAATTTAGAATCAGTTTGCACTCAGATCAATTTCAAGAAGAGATGGTGTTTGATATGTGGGTTGTTGGGAAAGTCATGACGCATTTTTGCATAGAAAACAATGTAAAAATGCATCATGATTTCCCGACAACCCAATAGAACAGCCCTCCAGGTAAACCCTCCAGTAAACCTGGGCACCTCATGACAGACCTCAATGTGGACTCAACTCAAGCCCACCAGTAAATGTAACTGATAATCAATCCACTAAACAAATGGTCTTCCTACTTCCTGATGTGACCAGCCTTGCACACAGCTAGAAAACCTACCTAAAATTTAATCTACGTCATTCCCTGGCCAAAAAAGCTCCTCAGCTCTTCATTGCATCAGAATAAAATATTATACAAAGAGCTCAGGGGCACTCTCGTGCTAGCTTACTTCTTCCACTTTGTTTTCCCCTAGACTATATTTTCATCTCTGAGCACACTGAGCTTCTCCTGATTTACCACACAGATCTGCTACTTAACTGCTCCTTTCCAGTTTCTTCTTCAGCACAGTAACATGTTGATGCAAGAGATATGTGCGGAGTTGCTACCATATGCTAGATGTTGCCCAACCAGTGGTTCTTAGTTATTTGCGGGGAAGAGAATCCCTGGCACCCTCTCCCCAGAAAAATCTACATATGCATATGTACCTCCAAGTTTGCTTTCAATTTCATGGGAACATGAAGCCATCCTTGGACCCCAGATGAGGAATCTTGTTCCTAAATCCTGGGAATCTAACATGAATAAAAGGGGCTAATTTTCCGAAGGCCTGTCCTTCCTTCCTTCCCTCTTTCTTTCTTAGCTCAAATTCCAAGTCTGGGCTGAAATCTCGCCGATTTCTGTGCTTCTCATGGGCTTCAACCCTGCCTCTCTAGCTGCCCACAGGGATCTTGAACTCTATACACCTGAAAGTAAGTGACTTCCAGGAAACAGGAACCCTCAAGAAATCTTGAATTCTAAAAATACTCCACAGGTAAGCTGAATTAAACTATGGACACACCTATAAAGCAAATTAGAAAGCTGAATGGCCAACCCGATAAATTCTCTTAAAAAGGCAATGTGGGGGAAAAAAAGCTGAAAAATAAGAGAGAAGACTTGTGGAGCAGAAGAGCGATTCAGAAGTTCCAACACCTCTCTGATGTGAGTTCCAATAGGAAAGGACAGAGAGTAAAGAGAGAAGGATATAATCAAAGAAATAAAGAAGACTATATCTCATATAGGAAACAAATTTTTCAACTAAAAAGGGCCAATGAGTACCAAACAGGATTAATAAACAAGACATCTATAGGTACTGTGGCAAAATTTCAGAACAAAAGGGATGAGAAAAGAATCTTAA